AGCCTCCTAAGAGCTGGGATTATAGGCGCGAGCCGCCATGCCCAGTTTCAATCACCTTCTCAGCGCACCTCAGGGGCGGGGCTGGCGCAGCAAGCTGGGGATCGAACCCTGGTCACTACGCTCCGCCTAAACAGGCACTTTAGCCTGCTGCACTAACAGGCCAGCCCTCTACATGCTTATTAAGTGACTGCATGGAGCCTTCTTGCACCACAGCCAGCCCAAGAAGTCCGACTGATCCAAACTGACTTGCATATGGTCTTCACCCTGCTAAAATAGTAGCAGTGACCTCTGGGAGGAGTGACACTCCCATTTTCAGGTGATGCAGTGTGAAAACCTTCAGGGCATTTGGAATATCTTTGCAAGCAGAGAAGGTGTCCCTGGTTGAGACAAATTGTCAAGGGCAGTATCATTGCATTATATGAGCAGAATCTGACAAACGGCAAGCTTGTAAAAAACAACAACAACAACAAAAAAAGCAGCAGCTTGTAAATATACTTCAAATAATTTGGGAAAGCAGGCTTGGAGCTGCATGATTGTTGTCTCTCTCTCTCTCTCTCTCTCTCTCTCTCTCTCTCTCTCTCAGTTTTTGTACTACAGCCTTTTTGTGAGTCACATTAGTTACTTTATACATCATATATATAACATGTGCAGGTACAAATAATGAGATAAATGAACGAACATAGAAATTTAATATTCTTATCAAGATTATCATTGGCCTCACTATGTAGATTGTAATCTAACTGACCACAGAGATAGCTCAGCAGTCTAAGTGCCTGCCTATACAAGCACAGGAACCAGGTTCAACCCCTAGCACCACACGCCGGGCCTGGCCCCAGACGCTATGAGCCACCGAGTCTTGCGTGGTGCCTCCCGCCTGTAATCCCAGCACTGGGTAGGTTGTAAACAGGAGGATCACTAAGAGTCTGAGCTGTGTAGTGATACCTTGTACCAAATACATAGATTGTAACCTAATGGACTAAAAGTAAATTTCTAGGAAAAGGGGACAAAATGATATTTTCTTACCTCTTTTTTCTATTTCATTTCAGAGTTGTCCATGTGTAAAAGCTACTTTTGTATGAGTCTTGGGAATTTGCTTACACTTACATTGGAACCAGGCTTACCTCAATATTTCCAGACTATTGCAGGAGTTAATGCTAAGAAATCAAAATGGTGTCAGTTATAAGTCGCTCAATATGGTCATTTTTGTGTTTTAATTGTTTTCAAGTAAGTGGATGATCTCAGGTTGCAAAATCAATGTGTCAGTGCACATGTTTAATTCCTAAGTATGTAGGCAAAGTAACAGAAAATCAAAAAAATTGTTAATCTCTGCAGCTCATACAGTTAGAAATCTTACCTATGCAATGTATTCTTCCAAAATTTTGTTTTTACCTTTTTACTCTTTAGTTATTTTGACACACAAATGATCACCAGAACCTAAGACTACAGTTCTATTTACATACCAGAGGTTATGAGTAGAAAGTACAGCACAAATACGTTCTCACACAAGTATAATATAACTAATTTAAATAGTTTATTTGTTAATTTGCAGAAATGGCAAGAGTGACACACACCGATATCTCCTGTGCTTCCAGAGTGGCTTGCATGTGAATAGAAGCCTTCATGAATGATATATTATTCAAATTTTCTTTTTTTAATAAAAATGCTAATGAAAATTTTAAAATGCACATAAATTAAAATGATCATAAATTAGGATTAATATCACATTAATGAATTATAATCCCACGTTCATTAAGATAAAGTGCCATTTCAATATTTGTTCTTGTTCATAAATTTAATACAATAAAAGAAAGGAATACACTATGAGATTCAATAAATGTTTGATGTAATCTTATGTTTTATTTTTTAAATATTGAAAAGTAAAGTAGGAAATCTAGATGCGCTTGGATTCTTTGTTACTATTTTATGTCTTTTTTATAATCCTTTCTTTTCATTTATTGAAGCGCTAAATACAATTCAAATTGGCTACGAAAGTGATAGACCTTGTTCTGAATAAAAGGAATCCCGAGAGAATGCAGTCCTTTGAATTTCTAGGAATACCTTTCAACAAGACAGTTTTATTTAAGGGGCGAATATTTGACATTTCATGGAGCAATAATGGAAACAGCATTGGCATTTAAGTAACCGACTAGAACTCAAACGGTGCACACTGAAACATTTTGTAAATTTAATTCAATATTTTTTTCTTTTAAAAGGCAAACAAAAACAATATCTATTCTTGTTTTTTATTTTTGAAGTAGAATTAATATAATGAAAGGGAAAAGGAAGCAGTTTAAAACATTTTTACCTCTTCTTGATAGCATGTCACGAAGAGTTGAGAGCCAGGGTTCCCTCCTGCAGGCTGCACCTAGCATGTATTCTGGGCTGAATCCATATCTGCTATAAAAACTTAATAACAATGCATTCAATAAATACATGCTGCCATTACCTTACATGGATTTGGATTCCTTTAGAAAAATGTCTTTTTATGTAAAATTGACATTTCTGGGCAAATATGTTGTCATATTCTGGTCTAAGGGTTCTTCTCTGTAAAATGAGATTTTCCTGGACCATAGTAATTGTAAGAATTCAAAAATGTAAAGCCCTGCAAAAGCCTTAAGACCTTAATACAAATCAGGTTATTAGGAAAATAATTGTCAGTATAAATATAACAGGCAAATCTGAATATAATTCTCGCAGTACTATATCTTAGTGTATCAAATATGAATCTTGAAGTGGTTATTGTGTGCATTAGCATATCAGTTATTTTATTTTTTTTGAAATATTAACTCAGTGTTTTGTAAATTTTAACAGAATGATAATTATATGAGAAATGATTCACATACTTCTTGGTGCAAAGGTAGTGATTCATAAAAGGTGTCTAATAATAGCATTCAGTGAATGTATCAATAAATTGCAAAAGATTATATATATTTGTATTTTTTCCTTGACCATTTCATCTTTGCATCAATTTTACACTGAACAGGTCAGAGTACTGTAAAAAAAAATCTGTTCTAACTTATTTAATGAGTTTCATTATATCTTGTTTCTGATATCTATCCCTAGGACTGTATAGAGTATTTGTGTAGTTACTTCTAGTAGAAATTGGTGAAGCGATACCGAAAGAACTGACCTCCCATGCACACTGGTGCCAGGTAGAACAAGAACGTTACAGATTAGTTAGCTCTGTCGCTAACTAACGTTACTTTTTATTTTAGCTCCACACAGACCTGGATCCCGGAAGCAAAAAAATCAAGTATATCCTATCAGGTGATGGAGCTGGAACAATCTTTCAAATAAATGATATAACTGGAGATATCCATGCTATAAAGAGACTTGACCGGGAGGAAAAGGCCGAGTACACACTAACCGCTCAGGCTGTGGACTGGGAGACCAACAAACCTCTTGAGCCTCCTTCTGAGTTTATTATTAAAGTGCAAGACATCAACGACAATGCTCCGGAGTTTCTTAATGGACCCTATCATGCTACTGTACCGGAGATGTCCATTTTGGGTACGTATGATTCCATTCTCATGAAATTACCGGAAGTCTATTTAAAATAGCTCTGGCATCAGGGATGTTGTGCTGTTGAATGAAAGACGTTTATTACTGACTTATCTCTAATTTGCATTTCCAAATCCCCCTTTTTGGCCCAAGTTCCACTGCTCAATGGCTTTATTCCCTTAGTGATAGGGAATGACTGACAGAGGAGCAGTTTTATGAAAATATCTCTCCTTACAGGACAATACTTCAATATGCTGAATTTGTATTCCTCTCCTAGACTTTTAGTTTGAGTATTGTTACTGAGGTGGATTTATCAAGATTTGTTTCAACATGTCAAGCTAATCCTATTGATATTTGCTTCATGTTTAATTATTTGTTTGTGCATATTCACATGCAGATGCAGACCATAGAGAAATAGGAAGCCACCCAGGACCATAGTCAGCCAGATATTGGCCTGAGCTGCTGTGAGTCCGCTGTGGGTGGGCACTCGCTGTTACCAGTGGGACTTCTGATTTTGTGACTGCTTCCCCTCATCTGAATAGTTCTGCGGTGTCGCTGAAATTGCTACTGACCTGTCCCACCTGTTCTGAGCCACCGAAACACCTATTGCACCTCACACGAGCAGTATATGTCCCAAAATATCGTTTTTGTGGCTTCCTTTCTGAACTTGAATCTGCTTTGCTAATTCCACATCCCAGCTGTGTTACAAAAACCTTCAAACTTGAGGTTTTTAATAGTGAATGGAGGGACACTTAAGCTCTTGTTGCTTGACAAAGCAGTGGGAAGGAGTGGGAAGGATGTAGTGTGTAAAGTATAGAGTCACAAAAGTCAGTTTTATGTATGCAGTAGACACTGAGTTTGTTTCAGAGTGCATTTAACAATGCATGTGAGGCCTCAAAGTCCCATAAATTAGAAGGATGTGAGTGCAGTGAGAAAGAAGGCAAAGGCAAAAGCAAATGGACAGAGAGAGAGAGAGAGAGAGAGAGAGAGAGAGAGAGAGAGAGAGAGACAGAGACAGACAGAGAGAGAGAGACAGACAGAGACAGAGAGAGACAGAGAGACAGAGAGAGAGAGAGAGA